TGAGTCTTCCAGCTGACCGAGCTGCCAGTTGACTGGCTTTCACCACTTGCCTGAGCATCATCCGCTTCACCTCAACTGCCGGTATCGTCTTTCGCTGGTCCTGTTCTTCTCGGTTGACTTTCAGCTGCGGCATTTGTGAAGCTGAAAATTGTTGGATGCGCGTAACCAGAGGACACAGAAGACGAGCAATTCGGTACCAAAAGAGATTACAGACGCAAATGGCTAACCTCACTCGCAAATCTCTCGTTTGTATGTTTAACTGAATTGTACGCCTATTAGCTCGGGCCCAAGTTGGGAAAGGTAGATACAGGCGAGTATACCAACGGGCGACTGCAAAATTGGACACACGGCAGCCCAGCCGAACGGGCGGTGACGAACCTTCCAGTTTTCCCTGCCTCTACCGGATCCTGGAGAACGAGGAAACGACACTTCTGACTTTGCATTCGCTTCGATGTGACCTAACCAAGTCGCAGAGCAATAGACAAAGATACCTCGACATTTGCATATTCTAGAGAAGTAATATGAGAAGGTAAATGGAAGAGAAGATGACTTAATAAGAGAATAGGGAGCTCAAAGAGTAGGCAAACTCGTAAACGTTTGTAGAATGGGCATTCATTGATGAAGATTGGAGGATGAGCAATAAGCAGTAATAATCCCACCTCAATGCTGTGGGACAGGAAGTAAAAAAAAAGAAAATGGGGATTGGTCTCGAGATTGTTGTTCGTCCACGATTGATCATAATCTAGATGAAGATGGTGAGGGATAATCTGAAAATCAGTCTAACATGTTAGACGAAGAAGCATTTAAACGAACTCACTCATTTTAAATTACTATTGAATGCCATCTGTATGGAAATGGAGTATCGCTTATGGATACGTATACTATAGTTCTCATAAAGACTACACTTAATGGCAGTTCGCTCTATAGAGGAGAGGATTCTGACGGGAAAAACATTTCATTTCAGATTTTTATAACCTTCATCAACAATATCTCATTCCTCACTCCAAAACAAGTTCACAAATTTATTTCTTCCTCATAATTCCAACTGTACATCCGGTTAATCAAAAAAATAATAGAAGTTATCGCTGTTAAAGATCATTATATGCCCCAAATAAGGCCGGAATTGAGAATTAGACATCAAAGCATTGAGGAAATGATGATAATTATCATCACCAAAATTAGTAATAGTAGTAGTAATGGTAATAAAGTCGGGAAGATGACAGCGCGCAGTATGACACAGAGAAATTTGTATTTTCTGTATAGTTAGATTTCTTATTTGGGGGGAAGGGTACTTTAATATTGTATGAAGGTGTATGAAAAGGAGATTCGCGGGTCGAACTTACCAGAAGAGGACGGACGAATCCCGTTCGTCATGGTCGTATAAAAGCCGAAAGGTTGCGATTCAGCCGTCCCCATCTGGTGAGATCGACCTACGAATCTGTTCTTCATGTACCTTCATACGAAATAAAAGTCCCCTCAACGATGTTATCTTGGGAGATTCATCGGAACCCTGTTTCTTTTCGTATCTGCAATGTACTTCAGTTCGACTTTTGGTCATCTGTCTTCTCGCTAGACAATAGCCAAGAAAACTATATCAAGTTAATATAATTAGATTATTTTAAATTTGTATTTCTCATGTTGTTCCTATGTATTGCTTACTCGGTAGGCGTTTTAATCTACCGACGCCCACTAATAGGGAACTTGGTCAGGTATCGTGTGGTTTGGTTAAAACTAGCCTCAAGGAAAGCCGTAACAGACTACACGAACTAATTAGAACCAAAAAAGGGTTAGGCAATCTATTTTTGAAATATTGAAGAACGTGGATTTGATTAAGTTACGAGGCCTGGTTGAAGGGTAAGGAACCGACCTTCGAATCTCTTCACCCAACACTTCCACTCGAAATGGAAATAAACTCCACAATTATTAGG